CAGCTGCTGTGCCTATGAGCTCATTCTCCTTTTCAACTGATAGAAGTTAGTCAGTGGTTTCAATAGTTACTGAGGAGATAAAGAATAGCTGCCAAAGAAAAGAACAGTATCCTGCGTCCTTTCTCTACCATACATTGGACCAAGCAACTGGGCATAAATGAGCATTGCAAGTGTGGGAAATGAGAAAAATATCACACCAAATTCCCATTCATTTATGTATTAAGGTAGGATGAAGTGCAAAAAGCTAGTGTATTAGAACTCTAACAACAGTACGTAAGAGCCTCCCCCAGTCAGCATCTTTAAATGCAGAATACAGCTATCTGTCTGAAAGCTTGTATTGTCTAACAGCATTTGGCTCTGAATACTAGCCAAGAGGGGATACCCTGCCAGGACAGGTAAGAAGAACTAATGCAGAGAACACACTGTAACATTAAAAAGTACTTCATTTTTTTCTGTATAAGCTGACTTTTGAGCTTCTGCTTAAAATAGCACCCTGAGACTTGGTTATAAAATAATACTGACATTTTATACGTGGAGTTGTATTTTGAAAGAATGAGTGGTGATGTCAATATGGGAAACCCTTATGGTTTTGCACATATGAATTGAGTATTTCCAAACTCTTTTCATGATTCCTATTCCAGTAAAAGCACAGGATATAAAACTATTACAGAGGAAGGGTTTTATGGGACTTTCTGGGAGTCAGGCCAATCATTTCAGGTCACTGAATGCGTCAGCAGATGTTTACATCATCCAAGCTTAATCAGAGGAAATAAGGAATTAGGGTTTATCAGCATCATCATAAGTCAATTGAGTTGCATAGTCCATAAATAAAGGGATTTGTGAATAAGCATGTGATTTGTGAAGTGCTGTAAACGTTAAAGAGCTCTTTGTGTAAAATATGGACTTTTCTAAAGAACACCACTGAATAATCTCCCATTTACACTCCATGTATGGAACTGGGAGGAAGAAAATTAAGTCAGAAATGGTGGGCCATGTCTATCAAATAACTCTTTTTTTATTTTCATGTTCCACTTGAGCAGAAAGCCACTCTTTTAGCCAAGTCCTCAATTTTTTAAACTGATATAGGGAAATGCATTTATCATTTCCTTCAAAGGTAGCTAATGTCTCACTGCTTCTGATTTTAGAATGCATACCACAAGCCAACTAAGAGATGCACAATGAATTTTTATTCTTTCAATTAAAAGCCAGGAGTTAGAACAGCAAATAAGAACTTGCAGAAGAGGAAGCAAATGATTCAGAACTGTAGTCCTTATGAACTATAAACTGCATGTTAGGAAAGAGATTGTATATATAGTTTCACATGCAGAATACTGGCTAAATATCAAGGAACTGTAGGAAAGTGAGAAAAATTTATACTGAAAATTTAATTCTAAAGACAGAATACTTGAGCCTAGGATCAAATAACGAGGAAGTTATTCAAAGGAAGTTTGAATATAAAGGCCAAATAATTAAGCCTTCAACAGGAAAAATTTACAGGCTCAGATTACACAGCTGATAAATGAAAGGTATCTGGGATAGAAAAAACCCAGAACAGATTTGAAAACAGGATAGACTTTTGAGAACTGGGTAAGCTGAAGGTTCTAAAATAGATTAGTACTGGAGATAAAGAAGCAGACATAAACTGGACTGCTCAGTGTTGGAAAAAAAACATATATAAAACACAAACATACAGGTGAAAGAATGTAGTGCTTCTTGAGATGAGTGGCCAAAAATAAAAAGGAAAAAACTGAACACAACACTAGATGTTATCAAAGTGGAAATCACCCAGAAATAAAGAAACTTGGTTATAGTACTTTTACAAAGATGAAGGAAGCAATCATCCTGCGCAAGAGAAAAAGAATTCTGTTCTAGATAGACAAAATACACCTAAGAAACAGAAAAAAACTATAGCTCTGATGTGGCACCTAAAGTTAACTATGGCTGTTATAGTTAAATGACATTGCAAAATTAAAAGGCATAACCTTCCCCAAATCTGGAAGCAGCTTTCTAAACAAATTTTTATTAGTGTTGAGTAAAGCTGAGGGGTCCTTACGTTGGTCTATATAACTATGTGTTCACCCATTCCTGAAAATTTTAGGGTTTTTCCCCCAAAGATAAGCTTAGTATGATGTTCACTATCACCATGCAAATCCTCTCCCATTAAACCACTACCACTGCCATGATTTTAGCTTATTTCTCTATGTTGATTCCAGGATATCTTTACAATTTGCCATTTTGCCAACATAATTCTATTTTCCTTGTAACTTTCCCTCATCATCCTTAAAACTTATAAACACACAGTTCCACCATCAGGAAAATAGCAAAAGCAGTTATTTTCATATGTAAGGTTTGAAAACAATATTACTTAGGAAAAAAAAAGATCAGCTAAAGCAATTCAGTCAATTAAGCAAACCAAACAGATTATAATCAGTGCAAGTCACTAGAGAAAATTATTCCCGAAAAGAATAACAGTATGGAGTCATTTAGTGAACAGTAGGTTTATTTGCCAGAAAAAAAAATTAATGCAGTCAGAGTTTGGAAATAGCAGGACTCTGAAAACTGAGAGGACACAGCAGTAATAGTGATAGACCCTTCAAGGTGTTTTGTAGGTTCTAGAGTAGTTACAATTTTGAGTCCAAACAAAAGGCAGAAAATGGAAAATAGTTTTGCAAGAATTCCACTCCACCTTAAAAAAGTAATATGGATTGCTCACCAACCACCCTGTAGCCTTTGAAAAGTAAATTTCTGTTCACTAAAAATTATCAAACAGCTTTAAAGATCCTTTATCAGGCATCCATAAAATAATTATAAGTCAATTCTTAAAATAAGCGTGTCTCAAATAAGGTTAAGTAGCTTATACTAAAACTCTGCACTCACTATCAGATTTTTAATGGCCTAGTAAGGCTCGCAGTGAGGATGCTTCTGATGTGAAACTCTGATGAGTACAAAGAATACTTCTGTTAACACAGTACAGACAAACACAGACATTAAACAATCTTTAAGTACACACCATTGTGCATCATGAATAGAATGTAACAACAATACTAGCAATTTTTATGATACAATTTAGATAACAGACGACAACCAATATTTCATCTCTTAAATTGATCTTTATGTTCAGGCTCTTCCAACTTAAAAAAAGCTTGAGCTGATATACACAGACTTAAGGGCAGACTTTCAAATACATTTATGCTCTAATGGAATACCCAGTGGAATTTAAAGAAGCACATCAGGTATCAAGTTTTATGACAACCATAACCATCATCATGGTTAAATCTACTTTTGCACACACGGTTTGTGGGTACTGGGTCTTTTTCAGGTAGTCTAAAAGCAGCATCAGAGAAAGAGACACTGTCCACTGTTCCTTAGCACATTGTTGAGAAGAAGATAACTAGCTTTCAGTAGTTAGGTCTTAGGATTATTAAAAGAGCTGCAACAAAAAGGAAGAAAGATGAGATCTGTAAAAATTTGTACAAAAAAATAGACCTTATTGTGGCAGGAAGAATGTGACAAAGAATCATGGGAGTTGTAGTTTTCTGGGTTCTCACGCATGCTCAATCAATACTTGATTGTCATTGGTTGAAAGATCATGTGACATGTTTAAGCGCTGTATTTAAACCTAAGCATTTTGAAATCAACCTTAATTCTGCTCTGGCACTCATGTCTGAGTGGGGTTCATGCCTCAACAACGCCTTATCGGGACTACAGCAGGTTACCAGGAACCAGGAGCAGCAAGCTCTGGGGAACCTGTCCAGAGGTGTCCATCTCGCCAGGATCAAAAAGGAAAAAAAGGAAGAATACAGCGGGCTGGACTACCTCTGCAAAAAGGGACAAAAAAGGAAGAAAAAAGGCCCGGAAGAAAGGACAACAGAGCTTCTGCACTCAGAGGTAACCAAAAACTGGCAAAATGGGAGGGTGGATTACCCGTCAGGAAGGAATTTCCTCAGAAATTAAAAAGACAGCTGAAGCTGTAATCCACTTTTTAAAAGAACAGAACAGAAATGTAGAAAAAAAATAGACTTTGGGACTTCCTGTATTGGATTTCCATAAATGATCCAGCTCTACCTTTAACTGGCATTCACCAAGTGTTATCTTGGAGGAAAATAGGAAGCAAGTTAATTGAAAAAACAAGTGAATGTGATATAGAAGCTATCAAAAACTTAGCAGCATGGAGAGAGGTTATGACTGCCTTGAACTTATGTTACAAAGAAGCAAAACCAGCCAGGACAGCAGACCTTTTTGCCCCCAGCCCCCCAGCCGACCGCGTGGCCCGAAAACAATAGAGCAGGGAGGGTGCACGTTAGCGGAGAGAGATGGGGGGATGGGAGGGTGGGAAGAGGGAGCACTGGGGGGGAGACAGTGCAGTGGCAGTGTGTAGTCTGGAAGCACATGGTGCTGGGTTCACCCTGGAACCATGTGCTCCTTGGCGCGTGTTCGGGGCCACACGTGGCACTCGCCGCGGGCGGTGCACCCCCCACGTGCACGGCTGCATGGCTTCCCACCGCACCCAGCCCTGTCCCTGCAGCGAGGGTTCCATTGCCGACCGGGGCTGCCATAGGATCCCGTGCCTCTCGGCGCGGGGCTGCTGGAGTGATGGCCCTGTGGCCGGTGGCCAGATCCGTGGCAGAGCCACTCACGGCCGCGCCGCCCCCCCTGGACTGGAGGGGGGAACAGCGCGGGGTCGGCGACTGGGGCTTTGCCTGGACTGCCTGCCACCCAGGCCGGCAGCGTGGCTGGGAGGTAGTTTCGTTGAGAGGCCGCCTGCCCCAGTTGTAGTGGCCCCTGCACCGCAGGCACCCGGAGCCACCGTTCTTGCGGCACTGCCAGGACAACCTGGGGCCTGGGCGGTGGCGGCGTAGGGGGCTGCCAGCTTCATGCCGGCGGCTGCGACTGCAGCAGCCGCCTTGGAGCTTACAGCTGCGCCCCCCGCACCATATGCCAGGCCAGGCAGAACGGTGGCCGGGGGGGCTGGGGTGGTGGCCGGGTCAGGTGGTGTGGCAGCGGCTGCGCTGCGGCAGAGCGGAACGCTGGCGGGGGTACAGACCGCCAGCGCTGTGGGGGCTGCAGCCAGGGGGCAACAGGCAAGCTGCTATTGCAGGGGTCAAGAGAATTTGCTAGCTCACTTTAGCTATGTGGCGGCCATGAGACCACCACAGAGAGAGTGCGGGGACGTCGCCGGGCGGCTGGAGCTCTGGCCTAAGGCACCAGCAGCAGCGGGGGCTGCGACGGGAGATCAACGAACAGACTGCTGTTGCAGGGGTCAGGGCGGTCCACTAACACCCTTTGGCTGTGCAGCGGCCATGAGACCACTGCAGAACAACCACGCAGCAACATGGACACAGCCAACTTACTCCAGCAGTGAAGCAGAAGTGAGAGTGCCTCTTCCGTTACCACCAGTTCAACCAACGCACAACAAATTCACAACCGTTAAAGCACCACCGTGGATCTCCTATCAAGAAACCAACCCACAGCCCTTGCCAGCCTCAGAACAGCTTCTACGCCGAAGATGGCCTGATGGAGGAGGAAGAAGAGAATTTAACGCCCAAGAAATCTTAGCCGAGCTGTGGCAAACTGAACTCAGCGAGACAACAGAACCAGAAAAAAGACAAGCAGTTTTGGATCCTGCAAAAGAGGAGGAACAGCAAACGTGGCTACAGCTACTACTTCAGCTTGAGGAGGAGAATGTAGACTGGGAAAGCACACAGAACATCTGCCTGCCCAAACCCAGACCATCAGCAAAGTCAAAGCAACCAATGTTGAAGTGGACTGCAAGTGTACTGACTGCGTTGCTGGCAATGACAGCTGTTAGTTTTGTACTGCAAAAATTTCAGCTGGGACAACACCATCCACCTACTGACAGAACCAACAATTTAGAGGTAACAGACATACAGCTATCAGCTACCATGTTTAATTTTCTAAGTCACTAAAGGACAACTTTACTAATTGACAGATTATCTGCTATTATAAAAAGTTCTTTTGTGTTACAGGGGTTAAGAATAATAATAAGAGGGGCCTCATATCAAGTACTTACTTCTCACTATTTTAAAATGCTGTTAGACAATATGCCATACACAACATGGAAAGTCAAACCTAAACTAGTAGCAAAGAACCAACCAGTTACAATTTCAACTACAGAAACACAGAATTCTTTATACATAGTCACTGCAAGAGCCTTGAGAAAGCAAAACAAACAAAACCCTCATACAACACAAGCCCAAAGATGCTCCACAAAGTTTCAACATAGAACAATACACACCTAAATCCACTCAAAACACAAACATGCATAAACTGGCCTATACCCAAATTGAACAATTAGAATGGGAGGCAAAGACAGGAATTCAAACATATTTAGCAGCAGAACAGATATAACCTCACAATGGTCCTTAAAAAACATCCCAACCTATTTAACAAGTTTTCTTAAACTATCATCCCCAAAGCAAAACACAGACATTATAACCAGCAATAACCCAAACATTAACTCTGTTTCCATTGGACCCACTGAAATCACTCATTCTGTAGAACAGAGACTGTCTCTGTCAAAGAGGAAGTCAATTAACAGCAGATTTTTCCCAAAGGCAGCTTTATTGCAGCTGAACCCACAAATGACCCAAGAAACAGGTAACCCTAAATCAGTAAAACAATGGCCTTTCCTTAAAACAGAGGTGATGCATTTACATACGCTATTAGAAAACCATATAAACACAGCCTCACTATGTACAAAAATCCTTTCACTAATCTATCAATCTCTCAAACCTAAAGAAAGATGGGTTTTCATGCTTTTTGCCCCTATCTCAGAGTTGGAAAAGAAAGAAGTTTTTGAAACTGAGATTTTATAACTTATTTTTTAGTTAAAGAAAAGGGTAAAAAACACTTCTTGCATGATTGCCTTTGCAAAAAAGGAAATAATGTGTTGCCTCTTAAACATAATAACAATAGTTTACTGCTTAACAATTGGGTGGAATTAGATTTTGTCATTTTCTGCCGCTATTCCTGTTCCTATAAAAACTTTCCTACTAACTCCTTGGCTAAACAAATAAGTGACTTGCCTTTGGGTGAGGAAGACAACAAGCAAGCCCCTCTTATCTCTCACTCAGAATCTCCTTTTTTACATAATGTGGAAAAGGAAGGCAGGACATGGTGAACTAAAACTTTGCTAACTATTCACTCATACCACTGCATTTTGCATTGTCAAGAAGATATAAGTTTTGCTTGTAACATTTGTAGTTTTTTCCTTCAAATCAGTTTTCTTAAAAGTGGTGTAAATTGTTTTCTTGACAATGGAAATAAAGAGTAGAGGGTAGTTTAAAAATATTTACACATGAAATTTAAAATCTCACCATCTTAAAGCCCAGTATATTCATTAATTCATATTTTTTAAATATAAAACTGGCTAATGCAAAACTTTTATTAAGTTTAGCAATTTCATGTTCTTCTAGCTATGATAAAGTATGCAAGATAAACCTTTTATCAATCAGCAAACAAAATTGCTACACATATTACAAAAACTGGAGCAATATAAACAATTTACTAGGGAGCTAAATTTGAACTAAATAAATTCACATACAGGCTGTTTCAGCATAAATTGTATCCTGATTACCAATCAATTACTGAACTCAAGGAAAAGAAAAGTGTGAAGGACCAGGAATCAGAATGGGGAAAATTTCAGAAGTGGAAAAAGATGTACAGTCATTGAAAGGACTTTATGATACAGACTTTACAGTTATTATGTATATACGCATTGTATGCTTCCCCAGAATTTGTATTTCCCAGGCATGTTCAGGCTTGTCCGCTTCCCTGCTTTCCTGCGGATTGGCTGGAGAGGCTGCAGGGAGGAGACAGCCTCCATTCACCCCTTCTCTTCCCAGTTCCTCCCACATTCCTCCCTCTTTCGCCTGTGCCCCATCCTGGTTTGTCCCCCCTGCCTGTCTGTCTCCTGCTCCGCCCTATGTTCTGGCTCTTTCCCTCTGGAGGTGATAAAAACTGCGTTCGTGCTGGAATAAACCCTCTACCTGCATCCCTCCCTCGTGGCCTGGACCCGTGCTGTGCCATGGTCCCATCCTCCCCTTTCAGACTGTGGCAGAAAAGGATTTGAAACCTTCTGCTTCATAGTATAAAAAGAGAGAAAAATTCTCTTTATTGCCTAAAAGCCTCTGTAATTCTTTTTCAGTATGTAAATTAGTGTCATTTTAACCAAGAACATTTAAGTTTATCTCCACAAAACCAGAACACTACAGCTTCAAAAATTTTCCCTATTTTTCATTCATTTCCCAATAGCTTTAAAAATAAAAGTTATTAGAAGATATTAAATTCTCAAATACATCCACATACATGCAATTATCACAATAATGTTATTCAAATAGTAAGTATAGAATCTTAAACATCCCCATATTTGTTACATTCAAACATTCTCAAAACATTTTGCTGTCACAAAACAACATACATAAAGTCATCAAGAGTGCAAAATAGCTGCTTGTAAATCGCAACTACCTAAGAGACTGAATTAAACCTGGTTACAGTTGTTCTAACTGATATTATTAAGAAATGGAGACTAAAACGTTCCAGAAAAATTTAACAGGACCAACAATGAAATCTCCAAAGAGAACTACACAACAAAAGATTATCTTTGAAGCCTTCAGGCAAAAAGCAAAAGACACTATAACATAGAGTGACTCACCGCTATTACTTCAAAAACTACAGGTTCACCTGAACCTTGCATCTATTCCTGCCCACCTTTCATCTGAAATAGACTGAACTGTTATTAACATGTTTGCCAAGATTGTTTTTAAGGATAAAGAACAACTACAAGAAATGAACAAGACACTGAGACCACCTGCATCCGGACAAACAAAGAAGGACAATTGAACAATAAGGTACAAACCTTGGACCAGGTTCAAGTGTTACAACTTACTCATGTACTTAGCACATTTAAGTTGTTTTGTAATTAAGCTATGAATGTTATAATTGATTCATGCTATGCTACAGAGTTACTTTCACATCTCGAAGCCTCCTTTCTTCAAGATTTCACTAACCCTCTCCTTTGTCTGGAAAAGTGCACACCACATAATTCCTTGTTAATCACACAAAATCTAACTCTTACATAAGACACATCCATTCACACACTCTCCAGGTAGAGTGGTGCAGCAACACACAAGGAATGCTTTGGGGGCAAGGGAGAAGTGGTCAATGTGTAACCCCCAGGAATACTTATAGAAAACATCGTATGTTCTAAATTTCTTAAACTGTGATGATACAAACCATAGCAGGTATGAATACCAACATAAAACTAAAATACTTTCACCTTCCAAAACACCAGTTATGATTAAAAATCTAATATCTAGGCAATGATCAAGACCAGTAGATTTCATAACTTGAGGGGAGATATATGCCTGTGTATCAAGGAGTGCTAAATTGCGGGGGATTCCTTCTGGACATATCAGGCCTTATAGTAGCCCTCCCCTTCAACAGAAGCAATCACCAAAAAAAATGAGTAAAGAAATTAGATTTAAAGAAACACAACCAATAATAGTAAAAGGAACACACCACACATTAAAAAACATACTCTAAAAACCACAAAAAAAGGGGAGGAAAGAGATATGGATCTGGTCCCTATATGTGTAAATCTACATTAACACTTCTTCAAAACAGGAACAATCACAAAGAAGCAATAAATGATACAACAGAACCAAAAGAAACACACAAACAGTAACCAATACAAAACCAAAACTCCATGATTCAAACACAATAAAGGGTTTAAGAATGCATGTGTGAGGAGAGAATGAAACGGTGGCCACCAGAGTATGAATGAAAAAGTTGAGTGGACATATGTATGTGTGTGTGAACTCAATATACTTCATAGCAAGACATTTTAAACACTACCTCAAATAACACCACCTCAAACACAACATCTACAACCCAACACATTTCCCTTTCAAATAAAGGTGATGCCATTACACAAAGTCACCCTCAGATAAAAGGTTATACACATTTTCAAACCCTGGGTAATTTAAAGTTGCTTGAATATTGCACGAACCAATAAAGTTGTAAACAATTCAATAAAGGCCTTATGACGATAGGCACTGATTTTTATAAATAGTTGAAATAAGATTGGTTATGATAAGAATGTTTAAAAATGTATTGTTTCACAACTTCTTAAATAGAGAGAGGGGAGATGTGGCAGGAAGAATGTGACAAGGGATCATGGGAGTTGTAGTTTTCTGAGTTCTCACGCGTGCTCAATCAATGCTTGATTGTCATTGGTTGAAAGATCATGTGGCATGTTTAAGTGCTGTATTTAAACCTAAGTGTTTTGAAATAAACCTCAATTCTGCTCTGGCACTCGTGTCTGAGCGGGGTTCATGCCTAAACAACACCTTACCTTAGCATCTTTTAGAAGATATTGTTTATTGATATATATTAATCAGACAAAAAGTATTCTGTGTTCAGTACTGAGCTCCCCAGTACGAGAGAGACATGGACATATTGGAGAGAGTCCAGTGAAGGGCCATTAGAATGACTAAGGGAATGGAGCTTCTCTTCTATGAGGAAAGGCTGAGAGAACTAAAACTGTTCAGTTTGTAGAAGAGAACACTCAGGGGTATCTTATCAATCTATACAAATACCTGAAGGAAGGATGCAAAAAGGGCAGAGCCAGACTCTTGTCTACTGACAGGACCAACTGAAAACACAGGAGATTCCCTCCGAACATCAGGAAATGCTTTCATGCTGTGAGAAATATCTCTAATTAAAAATGTCAGAGATGGACAAATAAAGTGAAACAAAGAACTTTATTAACAGTGCGCCAGGTGCACCGAACTCATGACCAGGTTCGAGCACCCCCAAATGGGAGGGATGAGCCCTTTTAAGACTCTTTGATTTGCATAACCACTCCCTCACTCCTCCCATGCCAGGCAATCTTTTCTTCCTTTAAAGGTGATCTTTGCTTTCTGGTGCAGTCTATTGTTTGTCTTCATCCACCTACCAGGTTGTTTCCCTGCCCCCAGCTGCATGGTCCCTAGGCAGCGATCCCAGGTTGGTCTCACCACCTTACATTCTTCCTGGCTCACCTTCACACTGTAGCAGTAAGTAAGCAGAACTGTAAGTAGCAGCAGGTAAACAGAACTGTAAGCAGCAGCAATAAGTAACTTTAAGTGAACCACAAGCAGCCCACAAATCCTTGACCACAAAATGGCTCCTCAACTTTCCAAACAAAATGACCTCCAGGTGTCTCGGCAGGAGGCAGCCATGGAAACCCCTGCTTGTAATAAAACCATCTTATTTATTTCCCACAATGCTGCAAGAGTGACTGAGCACTAGCACTGGAAGTCGTTGAAAGTCATCTGGACATGGCTCAAATTTCTCTAAAATGATTTTAGAAAATCAGGAAATATCTGTATTTTAAGTCATTATTGTGCCTTCAGTGAAGTGGAACTCATGAAGAGTTTGAAGAAAGTTCTAATTTTACTGCATTAATCAACTATGAACTTCTATTTCTTCAGCAAATGTAGACTGAATCCAGCAAATAGATTACCCTATTCAGTAGAATGACAGTGATTTCATTGGTTTCATACATACAATTCAGAAAGAAAAAACATTCCTTAATACAGAGGAAATAGTTTCCTTCAGAAACTTTCTAAAATCTCCCAGGTCCTTTTTCCCCCATAGTTTTTTCTTGTATCTGCTTATGTTATTGTCATAAGTTTGAAAAGAGATGTTGGAATTTTTTCCCAATGTTCGCACCCCTCCTCCCACCCCCCCATCTGTTTCTTCCGGGATGGGGAGGGGACAGAGCGAAGCCTCACACACTGGGCAGCATGGGAGTCGGGGGGAAAGTGGGCTTTTTTGGGAATCATGGTTGCTGCAGGTCACGCTGGGGGAGTCTTTTTTGGGGGGTTTTTTGGGTTTGGTCCGCTGACCGGACAGAGTGGGGCACCCAGTTTCAGCTGCCTGCTTTTCTTCTCCTGAGAGGAAGTTGGGTTTTTTTCCCCCCACAGGGCACCTCGCAGAGGACGACTGAAAGAGACCAGAGCGAGGTATTCTGTTTTCAGGACTGCCTGTGGGAAAAAGGACTCCTTCATCACTGGCTGTGAAGCCATCGGCTGCTGGCTGCTGCAGACACACATGGATACAAGCAGCTGTTGAACTGATGGGACAGTCCTTCCCCCTCCTTTCCCTCCCCCGCCCCGGGTTGCCGCAGGTTTCTTCCCTCCACCTGGGGAATTGGGACTTTGTTTTGTTTCTTCTGAAAATTTTTGATTGCACCATTTGTTGTTTATTCAGATTTTGCTAATAAAAAACTGTTCTTTTCCTTTTTCACACTTTCACCTGAGGTTTCTTAATTTCTAAGTTGTAATCTTGTTAAACTAAGACATTTATTGGTGCCCAAATCGTGGGGCTTGACTAGAGGAAATGTGGAAAAAGAATAAACCTTCTTGTTTAATTACCTATGTATTGCATATAGAGACACCATTAGCCATCATGTGATCCAGCTTCTTTTGGCATTTGGCAGTGTATATGGTCTTTCCATTTATGGATCACTTCTTAAAGATAGACACCGTGCCTGCAATAGTTGTGGCTGCTGTTAAGTTTGTAAAATAGTACCAGTGGCTGAAAAATTCTGGCTCTGTAGTTCTCTTTTGGAATATATATACATGGATGCATTACTACCACAACCTAGATTATTCCTATTTTGGGGGTTTTACTGATAATGGTACCTATTTTGGGGGAGGAACACAGGCAAATGCTTTTTCCCAACCCTTCACCCACTTCTAATATGGCTCTACACCAATAGCTTCTGAAGGGTTGTTTTTTCCCCTGGATGTTAAAGATATTCTATTCTTGATGATGTTTTTGCTGTGTTTGTTCAGTGTGGCCTACCCAGCATTTAGATACAGTGTGAGGTTGTCTTTGGTAACTGCCCCAAGATCTACCCCAGACACTAGGGACCCTACCCAGGAACCTGCCCAACAGCGTGCCACTGTTCTACAGCCTGCCACGGTCCAACCACCTGCCACTGTCCAATCTCTCACCATGGCCCAACGGCCTGCCCTAGACATAAATCACTCTGATTGGATGGGAAGAGATAGGCCAGGTGCTGAAGGAATACTCTCCCCCAGTTGTTTGGAAGCTCTCCCCTGACCAAACACAGATCCCCTGAAAGGTTGCTGAGTGCCTGAAAGAACACCAATCCATAAATTCCAGAGATGGAAAGCTTATAGCAATGTGCTGGACCTTAGCCCATGCTTACCGCACCATGGTATGGACTGGGCAACACCACCTACAGTCAGAAGGGAAAGACAGTGGAGTAGAGAAACCAATAGACATCACAAGTGCTCAGTTTGCAGTCATGCCAGAAGGGAAGTCACAGCCAGCAGAAGTACCCCCAGTGCAGAGGATGAAGTATAAAGCCAAGCCAATACACCCAGTTAACGAGGACGGGGCCTTCACCTTCACAACCAGAAGAGGACCCAGATCCTGAGATCATTAACCTGTCATATGACCAGCTCTGCAATATGCTGAATGATGCTACTTGACATCAAGATAAGCCCATTTTGACCTGGCTGATTCGAGTCTGGAACCTTATGGGTGAAGGCTTGCTGCTTGATGGCAACAAAGCAAGGTATTTGGGATCCCTGGCCAAGGATATGGGTATCAAGCAAGCATTCGTGAGGGAGTCAAAGCCCCTTTCCCTCTGGGAGCGACTTCTAACAGGTGTGAGAAAGAAGTTTGCTTGTAGAGACTTCCTGCAGCAGCACCATTATGAGACAGCCTGGAAGACCATGGAGGAAGGTATCCAACGTCTGAGAGAAACAGCACTGTTAGAGATACTTTTTGAAAAGGATGGGCAACCCAGCCACAACCCCCATGATGTCAGGTGAGGTGTACGTCACAGATGTGGTGGAGCCTTTCACAGCAAGGGCCATCCGTATACACCGATTTCTTGGCATTGGGTATTTCAAAGACCCAATGGGACATAGATGGGTTTTGGAGTAGCTGCTGCAGAGACAGAGGTGGCTAAGCAGTTGAATTTACCTGGCCTCTTGGATAACCCTTCTCCTGTGGGATTGTTGAGGGTTGAGGAACAGCAAGTTCCAATTGCCACTACAACTTTGCATTGTCAGCAATATCAAATGAATCGAGACTCTGTGATCCCCATCCGTAAGATGATCCTTGAGCTGGAGAGTCAAGGGGTGGTCAGCAAGACCCACTCGCCCTTCAACAGCCCCATCTGGCCTGTGCGTAAGTCTGATGGAGAATGGAGATTGACTGTGGACTATCATGGCCTGAATGAAGTTACCCCACCGCTGAGTGCCACCATTCCAGACCTGTTGGAGCTCCAGTACAAGCTGGAGTCCAAGGCAGCGAGGTAGTACGCCACTACTGACATTGCAAATGCATTCTTCTCCATCCCCTTAGCAGCAGAGTGTAGACTGCAGTTCCCTTTCACCTGGAGGAGCATGCAGTGCACCTGGAACTGACTGCCCCAGGGGTGGAAACACAGTCCCACCGTCTGCCATGGGCTGATCCAGGCCAGACTAGAGAAGGATGAGGTTCCAGAACACCTGGAGTACATTGATGACATCATCATATGGGGAGGACACAGCAGAGGAGGTTTTTGATAACGGAAAGAAAATCATCCAGATTCTCTTGGGACCCAGTTTTGCCATCAAAAAGAGTAAGGTCAAGGGACCTGCCCGAGAGATACAGTTCCTGGGGGTGAAGTGGCAAGATGGACATTGTCAGATCCTGACAGAAGTCGTCAATAAAATCACGGCAACGTCTCCACCGACCAGCAAGAAGGAAACACAAGCTTTTCTGGGTGCCATAGGTTTCTGTAGGATGCACATCCCTGAGTACAGCCAAATTGTAAGCCCTCTCTATCTGGTAACCCGCAAGAAGAATGATTTCCAGTGGGTCCCCGAACAGCAGCAAGCATTCAAACAGATTAAGTAGGAGATTGCCCATGCTGTAGCCCTTGGGCCAGTCAGGACAGGACCAAATGTGAAGAAGGTACTCTACTCTGCAGCTGGGGATAAGGGTCTGTCCTGGACCCTCTGGCAAAAGGTGCCTGGCGAGCCCCAAGGCCGCCCACTTGGATTCTGGAGCCAAAGCTACAGAGGATCTGAAGCCAACTACATCCCACCAGAGAAGGAGATCCTAGGAGCTTATGATGGAGTATAAGCTACC